TTTGAATGAATTACACCACAGTCTCCTCTGTTGCCTTCCTCTCCCTGTAACTCCAGCGCTGGATTTTTCAACACAACAAATTGTGGTTCCTTGAAGGACAACTTTTGAGAAACAGGGCAATGTTTCTCAACCAAAACAGAGCCATGGGAACCAAGAGACTTGGTGTTTAAACAAGAATCCTGCTGCTATCCTCAGGGAAGAGCCCTTCACTTCACATATCCCTATTTTCTCTCGCTCTGTCAAAATCTGAATTGATGAAAAGCAGCTGAGAGTCCTTGCCACCATGGCAATTTTTCATCACTCTGCAAGATTCAGCCCAATGTAAAGAAATCACGGGTTTTTTTTTTTCTTCCAGCTTCAGGCAGGTTGAAGCTTGAATACAAAACAAAATGCAGCAAGTCTAACACAGAGAAGGAAATGCATATTTGTAGCTTGTAATTAGTTTTGCAATATTTATACAATACCTAAACAGCATTGACAGATACCTTTCTGTAGATAAAAATAAGAAATAAGAAAATTCAGATTGAACAGAAATGTTCCCATCTAGACATCTGGCTGATGGAAAACTGAAGATTCATTTATAAATCATAGATTTCCTGGTCACTTGTCACTCGTGGGCATACTAGCAAACCTGTGTCTGGCAAAGCCAGAGCTTGAGAACGTACACATTTCTCATAGAATAAATTTCCCTTAAAAACAAACCAGCAAACAAACAAGCAAACAAACAAACAAACCAGCCCTGGCTTTCCCATTAAAAGTCTTGAAAGAAGCACCATATCTTCTGGTCAACTGGTTTTGTGATCAATATCTCTAGAGCATAACATGGTTAGGTTGCTAATCCAAGTCCTTCATGGAAGAGCAGAATTAGTGCTAACATGCACCCAGGACATGTGTTCACTTTCACATACAATTTTAACACTAAGCGCTAATGTAAGAACCAATATTTTCAGCCTAGGAAAGCCTGCGTGTGCACCACAGCAGAGCAAGCAGCGTGCTTATGCTGCCATCAAGTGGACACACAGTGCTGAACTGCAAATATCTTTCTGGAACAAGATAAAAGAATCTCAGGGCTGTACTAAAAATTTTGGAGTTTTTTAAACACCATGCTGAAGAATGTCTGCATTCTCCAGCTGTTGAATTACTATTATCCAAATTATTGGGACAGATTTTACTGCAAACTCTCCCAGGTTCTCTGGCAACCTTCAGTCACCATAATAACATGGGAAAAAATCTGTTTGTGCACTCCTCAGATGTATGACTATGTCCTATTTAAATTCTCAGACTATATCAGATGCCTAGAAGCCCTGGTGGTAAAAAAAGGGATGTGGGGTCCTTTCAAACTGACAATGAGAATGGAGCTCTAATGAGTGCTTTTGTGACGGCACAAGAAAGATTTTTCACTATCTACAAACTGATAGAAAACCATTTAAAAATTTGTAAAAGCTGCTGGCCAAAAGTTAATTTATGGTCCAAAAGTTTAGCTCTAGTTAGGATGCTCTACTTCATATAATTTTTGGCTTCTTTTCTTCACAGCATTTTTTTCTGGCATTCTACAGCAGAGTTTATCAAAGCTTCTGTCTTTACAGCCAATTCCCACTGAGCAAAAAAAAAAAAAAATGCAGCTCACTGAAACATGATCGTTCTCTTCTTAGCGTGAAAATGCTGCTTAAAATCACTGTTCCAATTTTTCAAAATAAATGAATTCTATGCTTTTTACAGTATTTATTTCTCAGATAAGATAAGCTAAATACATATTAATTTTTGAAAAGAAAATAAGCTAATTTTTACCTTCATTCACAAAGCTATTTTCTATATATATTAGTGAAATATGAAGTATGCTTTCTAGTGCTTTTTATAACACTGTTTTTACTGAAAAAAAAAAATTAAAAAATTTGAAAGTGGAGCTACAGTCAATACTCCCCTCTAGGGGACGAAACAGAATTTGCAGTGTTCCATTCAGGAGCGCTTCATTTGTAAATCACATTAGTGAAATAAAACTAATAGGTCCTCCCAAGTGAAAGACAAGCAGAATTATTAAGTCATTCCCCACAGAGAACACGGCTGTCTGTGAAATCTGTCTCGAGGACACGTTGTGTTCCTGTATTCACACAGAAGGCCTTTAATGGCACACGTATACAGAAGCCTATTTATCAGATTTCCCTAGCAACACACATCCCATCAACTTCCGACCCAGACAACGTATCATCCAGTGCAATATGCGAGGTGTGCATTTTTCTTTATAAGTAAACACGTGTGTCATGGAAACGTAAGTCCTGACAAGTACTAAAGCTGGAAGTTTGCTCAGCTGCTCATACTTGGTATATTTGGAAGTGAAATAGGATGGAAGGTCAGCACTGGCTCGGCTGCTTTCCTCCCCTTCATTCAGGCAGCCAGATGCAAGGTTGCAAAAGCAATTCAGGCATCTCTGTCAATGACAGAGGGTCCAATCCTCCCCACACAGAATACTCCTACGTACAGTCTGGGAAGCTCGCAATTCCTCCTTGGAAACGAGGAGAATGCAGAGCTAACAGAGGGTTGTCTACACATCCCCAGATCCTGAGAACTGAGTAAGCCTGATGGGAGCTACAGGAACTGGGGCTCAAGCCTCAGCTGAAGCTCAGTACTTCACAATGCACTACCACTGAGACAAGCAGCTCCCCCCAAAAAAACCCAGTGTTATGTATCTTCTCAAGAAAAGCCATCCTAGGTAACTCTGCTAGCTGTTCCCATTGTTAGAACACTCAAGGAAGCTGAAGGGGCTGGCTGCTTGTCACAGTCACCTCTGAACAGGGTTGGGAGGGGACCCTCAAGCCACACTGTGGCACAGAATGGCTCTGCTTCTAAAGGAGCACAGCTCCATACATGTTACAAAAGCACTTTCCACTATTTCTTGTAATATTTGAAAGCAAGCGGATTTAAAAGCTTTGCACTCTATTTCTTATCACATATACTGTGGTTAGTAAAAGTGTTATTTCCACAGCCAATATTCTAACAAAAAAAAAAAAAAGTTATGTTGTAGTTTTTTAGGTTACAATAGCATTCTTTTCTTTCTGTAGTGTACAAAATCATCAATCCCAAAAAATCAGGAGAAAAGGAGCTGAGTGGGATGATGAGAAAATCTGTGTCACATCCATATTTTTCTCCAGCTGCATATGCTGAGCTTTTCCTCAGTAGGGTACCTGTGGGACCTGAAAATATTGTGCCATTTTCACCAGAGAGACACCTAGACAGAGTAACTCAGATTCAGTGATGAGCTCACCTAGGTCTAGTTCACCCAGGTCTCACTCTGCTAGCTGTGGTGGCTTAGCTCCTCACCTCATGAATCAGGGTTTCGCTGCATTTGTTTAACATTGCAAAAACCAGTGCTTGCATGGAAATTGCGCAATCTGCCCCACAACGTCATGTTCTGCTCCAGGCTGAATGTGAGTCTGATCTGGACTCCACTTACACAAGTAATTTACATAAATAATGGGGAATTGCCACTGCTGCAATCTCTGGAGTGGTAATTACGTAGTCCATGCAGCAGTGAGACTGGTTTTAAGGCTGGCATTACTAACTTTTTTTGTGAAGTTTCTGTGATAGCCAATTGGACTTTTAAGTGTGTCCTTGCATCCTCGTATTTTTTGGTTTATTATTGCAGTGATCACTGATTTGGGGCTAGTAAGTACAGCAACACACATAGTAGAAGAGAAAATTAGGATGCTTTTTCCTTCTTTTAAACATGACTTCCATCATGTCTAAGTCTTTTTAGTGCTAATGCAATTAAAACTGGGATGATCTAAAGTTGTAAGGACATACGTAAGGATACCCTGTATCTCCTTTTCCTCCCATAAGAAGGGATTTAAGACTAGGCTCAAAAACCTCAAACATATCTGAAATACCTGAAATAAAACCTGGGAAGCTCCAGGTCCCTGTGTACAGAAGAAAACCCTCTTGAGCCTCAATAAGTCTTAACCACAAGGACCATGAGCAAGCCTGGGACTCGCCCTGGCAGCGTGCAGGACTGAGTGACTCCATAGCAGGACACCGGCTGGAGTTCAGCTTCCCACACATGGCTGGGGGCTGCCTGCTGAAAACCCAGTCATCTCAGTGCCCAAATTCAGCCTCCTGAGCACTCTGCTAGGTCTCAGGCACCACTCTGGACTCGTTTATAGAAAGTTCAGAATAACCCTTTGTTGCTCAGTAGGTTTTTCCTTTTATCTCTTTTTCAAGTTGTCCATATGACTATGGTCTGGAGAAAACCCTGTTGAAGACAGACAGCAGTCTTAATTACTAGAGGCTAATTACCTTTAATGAGCAAATTTCCATACCCTGATGTGAGATTTGTCCTGAAAAGAATTTCAGACACCAAAAATCATTGATGTTAGGTTTTTATCTGCATTATGCAATGATGATTCTTAGCAGTATAATCAAATCAGAGGAGGAATACATCTCTGAAGATCTGAGACACCCATTTGCTCCTCGGTAATATAATGTCCCAGCTTTGTTTGCAGGATTGTACTTGCTAAAGCAGCATCACAGTGCTGCTAGCTCATGTCATTTATCCCTACGATCATTTGCCTTTTAGCACTATTAGTCAAATTAATAAAAAAAAAAATACAACAAAAGCTCCAAGGGTTCAAGATGTACTGCCCCAGAACGAAGTCTCAGTTTCTGGTCTTGGATACTGTTTTCCTGCAGTCTGCACTACAGCTGCAAACACAAACAGTAAGAGGGAACAGATCATCTTAAAAAAGCTGAACTGAATCATCAAATCTGTTGAGAATATGCTTTCTATTTAATCAAAAGAAATAGTTAAGCACTAGCACTATTCAGAGAAGCTACTAATTAATCTGTACTTGAAGGCTACAATTATATTTTTCATTTTTCTTGATATTCATACAAATATATGTGAAAGATTGGTTCCCTGGCTCTACTAGGAGTGGAGAAAGTGATGGTCCCCCCAAGTAATTGTAGTTATCTGGAAATCAGCATCAGAAGACATCAACCCTGGCTATTACCTCATGGTGTACAGCAGAGTGCCATCGTCCTCCAGGCGCAGGAGTTTGTTTGGGGTTGTCATGTTGTGAGCAATAGACTTCTTGCCATTGTGGAAAAAAGTGTCTGGGGTCCAGATCTTGCTGGCGAGCAAGTTGTTAAGAGGGAGGCGTTGCATAGGTCCTTTGAATCGCAGCCTTTCATCTTTCCAGCTTTGTCGGAAAAAAACGTCAATGGTGTATTCCTAGCACAAAGAAACACTCAAGGTATTGCAGGATCTGAATAGAAATGATGGTTCCAAAAATGACTTTAGCAAAGTAAATACAACCGAGTTGGCAGCCACATGCTAACTTACCATTTCTGTGTCTGACACAGGACCAAAACTGGTAACATAGATGTCTGTTTTCACCTGAGTTATTCTCTCTGTAATAAACATAGGCTCTGCATCAGTAATTGCTTTAAAATGCAAATACCTACTGGCAGTGCTTATTTCTATTAATTTCTGAATCACTCAAAAATCCCCAAAAGAATGAAATTAAGAGCATGCTGGAGTAAGCATTTCATCCTGGATTAAATGCAATTGTTGACCTTTGGGAGTCCAGGCTTTTTTCTTACAAACAGAAAGAAACCAGCCCTTCAAGGGTGCATTTCCTGTGACTGACAGTTTTAGATCATAGAGACACAGAAAGGTTTGGGTTGGAAGGGACTTTAAAGATCATCTAGTTTCAACCCCTTGCCAAGGGCAGGGACACCCTTGACTAGATCAGGTTTCTCCGAGCCCCATCCAACCTGGCCTTGACCACTTCTACAAATGGGGTATCCACAGCTTCTCTGAGAAACCTGTTCCACTGCCTCATACACCCTCAAGGTAAAGAATTTCTTCCTATTACCTAACCTAAATCTACCCTCTTCCACTTTAAAACCATTACCCCTGATCCTATCACTCCCTCTTTCCTCTAAGCATCTTTAGGCAATGGAAGGTTTCTATAAGGTCCCCCCAGAGCCTTCTCTTCTCCAGGGTGAAGAACCCCAACTCTCTCATCATGTCTTCACAGGAGAGGTACTCTAACCCTCTCATCATCTTAGTAGCCTCCTCTGGACTCGCTCCAACAGGTTCATGTCCCTCTTATGCTGGGATTCCAGAGCTGGACACAGTACTCACAAAAGCACAGGGGAAGAATCTCCTCCCTCAACTTGCTGGCCACGATTCTTTTGATGCATCCCAGGAAGGAACTGGCTTTCTGGGCTGTCAGTTAACACTGCCAGCACTCACACAATACCTATCACAGGATCACATGAAGTGTATCTTGGATGAACCTACTCCCCTCTGCTGGCTTGGGAGATCTGCCTGATTCCAAACATCTATCAGACATGTCCGAAGTTAGGTCAAATTATTTCTAACCTCAAGTGTCTAAGTCTTTCTGGCATCTTTTCAAATCCGGGTCTAATTTAATTTAAGGGCAGAAATTTCAGAAGTTTGTTATATAAGATAAAAAGCATCGAGCCCTATTTTCAAGCATCTCTGTGTAAAGTGAGAGGAGAAGGAGAGAAAGGGATGAAAGCAATGTGTTGGTCTCACAAGAGGAAGGGGTGGGGGTAGCCAGATTAAAAAAGGGCCAGGAAGAAACATAACAGATGGTTTACACATGGGTAGGAAATGAGAGAAATCTGGGGGAAAGAGAGCTGAAGGAGGGCTCAACAAGGTTAGGATGGCAACCACTATTCACATGCTGTGGTTTTAAAATAGCTGCTGTAGAGGTTATCAAAAAGACATATCAATACAGATTTGCTGTACTTGTCTAAATATGGATGATTTGGGGATCTGTTTTTAAAAGAGATACATAATTTTATACAGGCTGACCAGGAAGGCAATCTTGCAGCAACCTGCTATCACAATGTCTTGCTCACCTTAGGAAATACCAGAAATAAAAACCCAAACCGTATTCAATTACAGAAAAAAAAATGTATCACAGATGCTCTCCTAAGCCAACCTCAGATGACCTGAGTGACTGAAGAACATAACTTTCAGTAATCTTTTTCTTATGCCCCATTTGCTAGGAGACAAATCTGCTTTCTGGACTTAGTTTAGTTAATCAAACACAAGTCCCTTGTCACAGCCAAGAGCAGGTACCCATCTGAGAGGGCACATGTAGACAATGCTCGGGTCTAGCAGGGGACAACATGTTATCCTACCTCCCAGTCCTGGGCGCAGTCTGTTGTCGTAGCCGTCCAGCAGACCATCCAAGATCCTGGTGAATATAGTGATGTTATCATTGGCCTCCTCTTTTACTGATGGTGTTGGCGTTTGTGAAAAGCTGTTTTATGCAAACAAAAGGAAATGTGTCAAAAGCCATGCTGGTTTCAAGGGGCTTCAGTCTCAAGGGAACTTTGTAATGGAGCCTCCAAGGCTGTCTCCTCTCCTGCTGCGCCTGAACAGCACAGGGAGCTGCAGCCATTTATTTCATCATTACTATAAACTCGTCAATAGCTCTCCCTGGACAAGGACCCAAAGAAGGACCCATGCCATGGAGGTAAAACCATGGGATGCAGGATCGGGGGCCACCTGAGCCCTTTGATCTTTGCCCATAATGCACAGGCAAATCCCTGACCCCTGCACTACCCCATCCCACATCAGCCCCACCACCTCCCCAGGGCTGGCATGGCTCCATCCATGGCAGGGAGCAAGGTCAGCTCACAGCAATGGCAAAAATCCATGTTACTGGATTTCCCTGGGTTAGCTATCCATTCCTTGGGAACTATACCAGCTGGCTGGGGAGCTGCATGAGAAGCAGAGGTTTGCCTGGAGATGCACCTTCAAGTATGCCTGAAGGTGCTGTTCAATCTTTAAATGCCAAACAGCTTCTAATTTTCAAAGTTTCTATAATTTATTGCCAGAACAAAGGATGAACTGTGACCTTATTTGAGGATAACAAACTCCCACTACATTGAAAAATCCCACTGGGGTATCACTGGGGTATCTGAAAAACATACTGCTGTACAGAAAACACAGTTCTTCACTCCTCCTCTCTCTTTTGCATAAATTAGTTCTCCCTTGTAGTATGCAAATAACAGCAATGTGTAGTGGGCCTCATTCCGTGTCTTTTGGCGACTTGTTTTTATTCCAAACTTTTTTATTTCATTATTTTATCCATGGCTCAGACCTAGGAAGCTGCTCACAGCACAACTAACGACTCGCATTTTTAAATCTGTTTGATTTTCATTTAAAGATGCTTAGGAGAATCCCCTGCTTATTAATGCCTTTGCTTACTTAAAGAATAGACATGGGAGATTATCCACAAGCGTGCTTCACCTGCAGCAAGCAATGAGCATCTCTTAAGACAGCTCACACTAGGCACTTATTCATGATTCAGCCTCTGCTGAGATCACCAGCAAATCCTCTAGCTGTGACAGGGCACACCGCCCCACCAGGAACTGTTCCCTGCCTCATGCACCCTGCCAGCACTTACACTCAGCAACCTGAACTTGATGGGAGACAGTCATCCAGATATAAAAAAAAATAAATAAAAAGAATCCATGTTTATTTACTACCCGTCCCCTGGAAAATAAATCTGTAAATAAATAGAGAAGCTGCCAGCATCTCTCTGAACAGCTTTCCTTGAAGAATACTTGTAACATACGTGGTTGCCTTACCTAACAGAACAGGATTCATACAAAGAAAGACAAAGGGACCTCAACATGGTTTTACCTGCATAAGGTTTCCACTAATGAGACCTCACTAACACCCCTGTAGTGCATCTGGAAGTTTTAATGACACCAGACCTAGCTCAGAAGAAGATGCTCGCAGCCATGTATGCCCCCACAGACCCGGGCACCCCCAGTCCTGCGCTTGTTCCCTTTACAGTTTGTATGCCTCAGCTGAAAGAGGAAGGGATTGCAAAGCCTCTCAGGACACGGGAGAAAGGTCAGGTCCAGGATGCACCGATGTTATTCCCAGAAACACCAAAGCCCCTGAAAACGCCTGGCTGAGGAGGTTTCTTACGACCTAAGTGCAGCTGGCACTGCTGCAATCCTCAGCAAGCTCCACACTGCAGAGCCTTGGGGGCCTTGGGGCCACCAAGGATCTCTGCTCACTGCACGTGGAGGCATAGCCACAAATCTTGCCTGTTTTTCATCTCCATGGTCAAAACACCAAACTAATTCTGTTTTCTTTGCTGTGACAACAACATCTAGTGAGCAACTGAGGCAGACAAGAAAAAAGTTAATCCAGCAGGTGCAAACTGATTACAGAAACATTAGACATGTTTTCAGGCTGGACAATTCCAGAAAAAAGACTGTACACTTTTTTGTCAATTGTAATTGAAGGGATTCACCATTTAAAAATGAATATGCACAAGTAGCAGCCTAACAAATGCAAACAGGAGACAGAACTTGGAGACTTTCTTTAAATGCAGCAACCACAATGAATGCTTTGATAAAATCCTAGTATAAAGCATGAAAATCCAGTACACCTAGAATACTATTTTTGACTCTTCTCATCTATTTTATCTTTTCTTTTTCATAAGAAAGAGATATGCATCATGCTGTCTGCCTGCTACACTGCATCAACGTAGGAACCCATTTTCATTTTCCACTGCATCTGACAAAGAAGCAGAGAGATCAAACTTCATTTCATTCCTACAAGTTTCATGAGAAGCTGCGACTAGACAAGGGGAGAGCAATCTAAATTAGTGCCTCATTAAGTAAAAATGTGAGGTTAGCAGTCACCTATTCCCTCTGGCTCGCTGACTGGGCCACTCAGTATGCATGTAGCTCAGAAACATCCTCAGCAAGACCAGCCCCCCTCCTCTCTGACAATTAAGAGATATGGAGGAGACTTGCAGGGTCATTATGAAAGATCTTGGGAGAAAAGGACAGTGCAGGTAAAATGTAGGTGTTGCAATGGGAGATGGGAACAAGGGATATCAAATGCGGAGCTCGGATTATTGCAAAGATGCAGTGCTGGGGGCACAGGACACAAAGCTACACTAGTTTCTCTGCTCTTGAAAAAGCTTGTTATTTTTAGTGCTTATGGCTGAATTCAAAGCCAATTGAACTCTGAGGGAGGATTTCCATTGAACTATTTTTGTGGGGATGGGACAAAATATATTTAAATCTCAGAACTGCTCCTCTCAATCTAACAAGAGTAATTGATGCTACTTCCTTCTATCTCAGCTATGTACGTCTTTCACAGGAACAGTACACACACCCCATACACTGAAATACTTTTATTTCTTCACAACAAAAGCTAATTAATAGGGGGAAAAGCAGGAGAAACAACTATGGTGAAGACTAGTAAAAAGTCTGCACTTCTGCAAAACTGCAATCCAATTTAGATTTGGCAGATCACTTCACCCAAAAAAGAAGGCATCTGATTCCAAATTTCAGTGAAATGCCAGTATTATGTGAAGTTACATTTGTAGATGGATTGCTGTTTGCTCTTACGTAAGTGTGACTTTCTCTGTCTTAACAGAAAGTTAGCATGCAATTTCTGTTGAGATTGCTGGTGAAATGCATGTTTTGGAGTAAGGGCTGAGATTGTCATGACATGTAAAAAGACATGTAAACTCTACTTGCAAAGTTACATGCACACATTAGATACTATCTACCTCAATGAATAGAGAGAAATAGGTGCTACCTACCCTAAACTAATTATTTCCACACAGCTAAGGATTAGGCTTTATCAACATATTAGTAGGTAAGCACATTATTGCCTCTCTGCAGTGAAAAATGTTTTTATAGCAGAAATTTTCAGTTAGGGATAAAAATAAACCTATAAAAGCATCTTAGGGAAATGCTAAGAAAATTCAGAGATAATTGCATTTAAAGCTCATTATTGAACATAAACTAAACCAACCAGGAATACTTCTCATCACATTTATTTAATATTGCAATTTTAGGGTAACTGAAAAAATCAGAAGCCACAGAAGGGGCCCATCAGTGTAAAATGTAATAACTCTCTACAGATGCTTAGCTACCTCTTCTGATGACTTCATAATTTACCACTTTAAATATCATTGTCGTTTTTGCCATCTAGTCAGAATCATGGTAGGTACTACTCACAGGTTAGCTGTAATAAGAGGAAAAAGTATGGTGGATATTTCATGATTTTCCCAAAACTTCTTTAAAAAGAAAAGGTAAGAATTTCTGAAAAAATAACTGAAGAGTATTTCACTACTGAAAGATATATTTTACTCTCTCTCTTTTAAGAGTAGTGTTTCCAATAACTTGCTTTAATAGGATTGCAATTATATCTGAACTTCAGACAAATTAACAGTTTGTGGAAGACAGTGGAGAACATAAAGGTTTGGATAAAGCCAGGTGGCCAGGCATCAAAGGAAATATATTTACTTTTCTAAGTTAGCTTCTTGCCACCCCTTCAGTATGGATTCTTGAGACCTAAAAATGTTGACTTTGTGAATTTGTGCATTGAAGACTCAATTCTTTCACATTGGATTAGAACAGAAGACTGACTAAAATGATGAAATTTTAAAACTATGCTCAGATTATTAAAAAAAAAATTAATTCTTTTGTTTAGCAAGAGCAGTGTTTTCAGTGCCTTCAGGAAGGAGCAATTTGTGAGCAGTGCAGTGAAAGCCTGTTTTTCACAGGGTGACACTCTTAGAGTCCTCCCTATTCCCTGACATCCTAATGCCCCTTTCGATGTCCTGAACTGCTTCCAGGGTCGTTAAACACCTCCCACCACTCTCAGCTCCCCAGGTCACTGACCTGCAGCTTCACTGGGAGGCACTGCATGCCAGGGCTTCTCCTGCAGCAAGCAGAGCTGGATGACTCCTGCTCTTTGGCCAGCTGGCGGGCCAGAGATGCTGAAGCCGTTCAGCTGTTCGGCTGAACAGGACTGACTGATACCTGTCTGCCTCCTGCATGCAGTTCCAGATAGCAATTTAGTTTTCCAGTTATTAGAATTGTCTAATGGGTTCAAAAAGCTATCTGGAGATATGAAGAATGAAAGGAAGACAGAATAAAAAAATAAACAGACAAGCATGACTGCATAAGGATACAATAATTCTTACAAAATTAGTCTTTAAAAATATGAGGAAGAACTCCCTAGCATCACAAGTACTTGAAATGAGGTATCCCAGCAGAACGAACTGCTTAGGGCTGCAGAGACTAACTTGAAATAACAGCCTGAAGGAGAGGTATGTTTTGCCTAAATAGCAGGATTATGGTCTTAGTAATAACGGCTGTGAGCTGGAGAAGAAGTACGTGAAAATACAGACACACCATGGACTGAATTCTTCAGAGCGTACAGAGAAGTGCTGCGTTGGCTACACATAATTGGGATCTTCTGTTCTTCGTGTTTCTGCTATTATAAATATTATTAGCAGATGGCAACTATACTGTGGGTACATGAACAACGTCCATTCCTGTTGGTTCTGGCTCTGAGACAGATTTCTGAAATTGCACATCCAAAACGCAAACACACCAGGACTGTGCATCACCAGTGTGACCCCATGGACAGCCTGGGACTTGCAAAGTAAGAGCTGGCCAGCTTGGGGCCAGCCATAGGCTACCTCATCTCAGGGAGAGCTGTGTGTAAGCAGCCAGGTAGTGGCAGCAACCCTCACAGGGCTGCCACTACCTGGGCATCCTGAGGGCTCACAAGCAGTGTTTTATCTCGCCTGAAAATACTCTTCATGGTTTTATTTTACTTTTAATCATCCTCTAGCTTTATTATTAATGTTTACTTTTGAGACAATTGTGAGCTACCTTGAAATGCTTAGGTGAAACACCTTAACTTGTTAGAGCATTATACAACTCAAGGCTGAATTTCAAATAGGCTAGAAAAAGCTTTGATTCGTGCTGGACCATTTCTGCAGAAGAAGATTCACAAAACTGTTATACCAAAAACAGGAGGGGGGGAGTTCAAAACCTCTTCTCAGTTCATCTATATCTTTGCATTTTAATTCAGTGATTTTTTTTTTTAGATAGCTGCTACCGATACTGTCTACAGTCCTCCTCTACTGCCTACTAATGTGGATAATTCTCGATAGTCATTACACATTTATGTTTAACATTAATCACAGTCTTTTGCTGAGATTTCTCAAGTAGCCTAGTAGATTGAGATACATAATTTCTGTTTATGTTACCAGGCATTGTGCATCAAAATCCCCCAAGGTGGCTTTGGCTATGTCAGCAAAAACCATATTTATGATTTAATATAAATATGGAATGACTATGGAGAACTGTAGAAAAATATCTGCCTTCATCTGTAATGTCCTACAGTATTCTGATTTTTAATTTGTACTCCTTTGACCAATCACTTTTATCTAGCACATTGCAAAACTCACTGCAATATAACAGAGCAGTAGAAACATGGATGAAGCTAATAAAGAAGAATCTGGTAGCAACAGCAAGTGTTATCAGTATTAGATTCCTGCAGTTAATACAGCAGCCTACATGTTAATTGTACTCCTCCGTCCTGAAGAGTCAGTCCCAAAGCACTTAGCAAATTACACTCTGAAACTGCTTCTGCCTCTGAAGCAGAAGCGCTGGAGCATCCTCTGTCTTTCTAGCAGGGTCAAAATTCAGCCCTCAGGCAGTGTGTGAATGGTGCAGTGAATTGGGGCTGCTTATCTCTGCAGGCCTGGACTAAAATTACTGGATCAGAAATGGGGGGCGAGGGGGGTGGGGTGGGGGGAATTTATGTGATGATCTCATTTTAGTGCACAGAAGCTTTTTGACTAACTTGCAGAAAACAAGTGTCCTAGTTTCCTCTAACTGTCCTATTCTGGTTATCTGCCAGGTTACAGGTCACACTGACCTGTACCTGGGACTTTGATTCCGTATTTGCTCTGGAGTCAAGAAAGAGTTAAACCATCTGGGTTTTGGGTTGTTTGGTTTTGGGTTTTTTGCATCCTCGTCTATCTATTCTTCTGTTAGAGGAGATACACACTTATAAGACCCACACACCAAGCAGGTCACACTCAACTATTGCAATATGCTGCCTTCTGCAGGGATGACGAACAACCAAGAAGTTGTTATAGTCACCAAGATTTTCTCAATGTGGAAATACTTTGTCAAACTACAATGATGTAAAGACAAGTTTAAAGCAAGTCCCACTCTGCCCTCTTAAATTCTGTCACAAAATCCTGGGACACTTTTGCATTAGACCATGGTGAAAGAAGGACCAGGTTTTTCCAACTTTTTGCATTCTTTGTAGAGTGCAGTCCTTCCTTCAACTGTTCATAGAAACCTCAGAGGTTACAGGCTTCCACCTACCTGCATGGGACACGTGCTGGATACCAGGCTAAGCTTTGCATACAGCAAAAACATCACCACTCAAAGTTTGGTCTTTCTCCTAGTTCCAATCTGGAACAAATCCGTTTGCTTGAAATCAGAAACTGATTTGCATCTCCATTTTGTATCTTCTTATAGCAAGGAATTGATGGGTGCGCTTGTGAATCAGCATGTTGGGAGGATTCATTTTTTTCTGGTGAAATCATAAATAATTGTTCTCCTCCACAAAGAAGAATCAACCTACGTTTCCCAAGCACTTGCAAAATGCTTTTTCCATGTTCCATTGTATAGATCATATTCAGAAAGTTCTTAAGGTCTCTGGGTATAGGGAAAACATGTAAATAGAGGGTTTCTGACTTTATTTTTCATTTTCTGAGACCTACAGTTGGAGCATCTCTTTGATACAGTTTTCAGAATATCACTGTCAGGAAATCATCCAAAGCAAAAATAAGGAAACGGGATTCCTTTCTATATGCTTCAGGGAAACATGATTTCTAATTATTCTAACAAGTTTCCAACTCAGACATCCTTCTAAGCAGTCACTATCTTAGGTCAATCAGGAGGAAAGCCTGTACCAGCTAGTAACATGCATCAAGTCACACTATCGCAGTTTTGGGGGTTTTTTTGCACTACTGCCTATAACCAGCACCCACCAGGTGAGAGGGAAGGTGCAAGATCCCGACATCACAGACACAGGGGCAGAGGGGACCAGAGCCCCCGGCTCTTCTAAACCCAGGTCAGAGCACTCAGCAGCTGTAGGCCTGATGTGAACTCCTTGTGCCCCACAAGCCTTTCCCTGTGCCACCATAGCAGGCATAAAGAACTGACACAGGAGAGCAAATCTGAACAGGAGAGCAAACCACTCCCTTCCCCCCGACACCAGCAACTTAAGATGAAACGCAAAGCCCGCTTGTTTTGTTCAGCTGCTCTGTACCACACAGAGCCAAGGTTTCTCATCTCCTTAAAAAAGCCACAGCAGAAATTCAAATGCAACTGGCAACTCACCCGAAGTGGCTGGCTAAACTCATGGAAACGCAGAAGAGGAAGAAGTTTTTGATCATGATAAAGTCAGAGACCATCCCATTGTCCATTCCAGAGGAGAAGAGAAACGCAGGTGGTTGCTTTGGTGAAGGTGCAGCTGTTCACTTTGTTCTTACACTGCAACAATACAAAAAATTGATAAATTATTGCATGGACAGAGAGCAGGATAGCGGAGTTCAGCTAACACCGCATCTTTTGCTATCTGCGTTTTTCACAAACTTATCTAGGCTTATGTAAACATCAGCTGTTTATGTAAAATTGTGTATCTTCAAGGACATGTTTTACCTTCTGCTGTCAGCAAACTGCAAAACAGGAAAAATTCTTTGTGGCCCAGCTTTTCCCAATATTCATCTGTGGTACAAGTAACTAAAAAAATAGCCACCATTTTCCAAATGCCAATTTCAACCCTTTACCTATTTCAACAACTTCCACATGCCTGCAAACCCAGGGCTATGTGCAGCCTCCGCATCCTTTCCTTCCATCGCAATTTTTTCCCATTAAATACCCGGCTTTCCTTTCCAAAATCCCAGTTGAAATGCCAAGAAACACCTACTGCTTCTTGGAATTCATGCTGCTGATGCACGGCTTAGCAAAAGGAGGGTGGGTTGTTGGGGGGGGAAGAGGGTAAAAAGTGACCTTCCTCGCAAAGGCACATAAACCTCACGCTAGCACGAAGAACGACAGTAATGTAGCTGCTCCAGCGACTGCTGCTTTTTGGATACCTGCCTCAGCGACCAGATCACCAATTTCAGCATTGTGCACTAACGTTTTCCTCTGTGCCCTATTAAAAACAAACAAAAAACCAAAACCACAACAAAACCCCCCAAAAGCCAACGAAACAAAAAACAACAAACCACCCCGAACCCAACAAAAAGCACAAAACAGCCCTCAAAAACACACCCAAAGGGGAATTGCCTGGATTTTCCACCTGAACCCTGTGCCCCCGTGCTACATCGCTCAGCAACTTGTTCTCCCACCCCGCCGGAGCCGCAAGGCAAAACGCCCGAACCAAAAGCCGCCCCCCGGGGCTCCCCCGCCCGGCCCGCGCTGCCCCGCTCCGGGTCCCGCTCGCTCCGCACCGGGCACTGCGGGGCCGCCGCTCCCTTCCCGCAGCCCCGACCCGCCCGCACCTGTCCGGAGACCGTCGCTCAGTCGCTGCCGCCGCCCGCGCACTGCGCCCGGGGCGACGCGCTCCGCTCCGCTCCGCGGAGGGTGGCAGAGGCCCGCCCGAGCCCGCTCCGCCGCTCCTTCCCCTCCCCGGTCCCCACGGCACCCCGGGACTGCCCCCGCCCCGTGCGCAGGCCGAAGTTTCCCGCGGCCATGTGCGCGGCGCGGGGCGCGGCGTGCCCGCCCGGGGGGCTGCAGCCCGGGTTCCCCGCCGCCCTCCGCCTGCCCGGCCGGGCGCGGGAGCCCGGCGCTTACCAGCCGCCGGCGGGGGGACGAGGACGAGGGGGCAGTGCTTGCCCGAAAGTTGCGGAGCGGCAGCAGGAGCGGAGCGGGAGCGGCGGCGCTGCCTCCCGGCCGCTGGCAGGCGCGGCCCC